TATTGTACATTTTTATCGTAATAAAAATAATGATAATCTCAATCACCATTTCCAACTTGGTTTATTAGCTGACAAAAAGTTTCATACAAAACCTCTGTCCTCAAAGGTACGTATTGGCCAAAAATACATCTAAATTTTGTTTGGTTGAATTTCAGGCGCCTTATCGCCCTGTACTGCTTTGGTGATCGCTGGATAATTAATTGGATATCACTGGGTGCTTAAGTGCTGACGCCTGAAAGAGCAATTTCACTAGCCTTTCACTAACTTTTGCTTTTTGAGAAAATTACTTTTGCATTTATACAGGAGATAAGAAAAGCTTCAAACAAAAATAAAGTGGTATTTAAATTCAAGTTTCACAAAATATACACAAACAGAACTTATAATATGCACACACTATGGCTTATAATTAGATCACTTTTTATAACAACTAACAGTGAACAATGGAAAAAAAGGCCCGGTAAAGTAGTTTTCACCCTATTCAGTTACCCTAATACAAAACTAGAAAAAAAAAATACAAATATAATAGAACATGCGAAGTTGTATAATAATGGTATAATGAAAAAATAATAATATTATGCAATGAAGACTAGACTAATTGTATCCTAACAAGACTAATGAACTTCAAAATTTCGCATAAGCGAAGTAAACGTGAAGCGTGCTTGTATACACGTGGTAGAATCTTGTAAAATATTTACGTTTGTGGAGCCTTATAATTAGATAGTATGGTCAGCTTTGAAGTCTTGAACGATTATATTGTATACCACCGCTTTAACTACGGTCTAAGCTTTTATAGCGTAGTTAAAGCGGCGTAGTCTCAGCGTTATATTACGCCTCCTGTTATAGGTGTCTGATATGAATGAATACATATACATGGATAGTAAACGACCCGTACGTGTAAGACAGGTATATTGATTTTGTTAATTGATTTGTCAGGCTTTCTGTATGTGCGCGTTCAATTACTATAGAAGCAGTCGTTAAGGGAGTCGCCCTATAGCGTTTTGCGCCGAAGCAGACATGCTCATGGTTCGTTTACTTTAATTCGCGATAGTCCTAAGTACTTCTCTTTTTTATTCTATGTCTATATCTTGCCATTTCGAGTTTATAGAGTACTTCTCATATGTGACAGAACCTTGGGCAACTTCGGAAACGCTACGTAGATTTGCCGAGTCATGCAACGACGCAAAGTATACATTATGAATAAATGTATTCCCAGGCAAGCCCCGCCAGGAACAAAGATGGCAACGGTTTATTTTGATATGCAACATTCCGCTGACGCAACGCGCTTACTTAGTGGTCTCTCGTTACAGGATGAAAGATACGGTAAGTTTAGTATTGAGCCAGTGTCTCGTCCAGGCTAAACAATAAAAATTCATTTCGGGAAGATTCGCTCATGTAGAGCTTTCGAAGTTCGTCGCCAACAAAGTGTGTTCATAAAAATAACCAATGTGAAATGATTGTGTGGCATTTTCTTGCATCGATTTGTCGATCCCCTAAAGAGTGGTTACCGCCGGCTGTATGAGTCCTTCTCAAGCGAAAATAGCATATTTAGTGCTTACTCTAAGATATATGAAATTGTTTCGTCAGAACATATTCTAGCTCGGCGGATCTTAATGACATTTACTTCACAGTTGTTATATTAACAGCTGGCATGTTTAAATTATTCTGATTCAAAGGATTGTTGAATCAGAGCTTGAGCCTGTGTGGTAGAACAATGTCCCTTAATAAGGCTTAAGAAGTGTCTTCCGCAATGATCGTTCTTTGTTTAGATATATCGAATACTGTAAGTCGTCCAAAGTGGCATTTTTTTCAAAATAAAGTTATGATCCTTAAAAAAGTTGTCCTGTCTTCTTTCTTCTGGCGTCCTTCCGCTGCTATATCGATCCCATACGTTCAACATTCTAAGGTCAGCACTTTTCCTGTTAGCGAATCGTATTGCGAAGAAACTATTTTTTGAAAGGGTGCAAATTGCATTTCTTAGATCTTTTGGACATGCCATCTACGCTGACAGATCTAGGTAGGCTGAAATCATCCGAAGTCCTAAGGGGGTTAGAGCGAGAACAAATGCTCTTATTTCAAGGAAAAAAGGCTTGGGAAGATATCGCATATAGCTGTATACAACAAAAAAGAAACGTCTTAAATCACATAGCAATACGTTTGCTGAGTCTGATGTTACTAATTTTAACCGCCAAAATCAATGTACGAACGACCCTCGTCTCTGGAGCAACCTAAACAGTAGCTTAGCGAAGCGTATGTCATACAGAAAAGCTCGTTTCTGATTAATGAATAGTTTTTCCTTTAGTTCCTGCAACAAATGTTCTAGATGAAGGCAGAAATTGTACAACTTCTCATGTTCCTTCCAGCGGCTGTATTATGAAGGGTGGCAGGGGGGGGTCAATTTGAGCTTATTGTGTTCATTGCTGTCTTATCGATTCCGCCGGAACTATGACGTATCATTGATTGCACTAGTACTGCTAAAGTTTTGGAGGATACGTTGGGTCTATATGTAAGTGTGTGGGTAAACGGGAGGGCACTTTACTGGACATTGCTGCATTAATCGGACCTTTTTGTGCTTGCAGCAAGTGATTGTCATCACGAATTCATCGATAAATGGGAGGTGTAATAACATAAGTGGCCTGGGACAATCTAATTCTAAATGATAGATTCGGAGGGAGTAATTTGATTAAGATTTTTAGATGTTTTTTTTTTATTTATCAATCAAACGAGCTACTAGCTCTCTTATGAAGGGACTATAACATTGTTTGTACGGTTAGATGCTCCGAACGAAACTATGAAACGAATATCAGATATGCATAAAGTGTGTTTCCTCCTCAGCCTTGACCCACTGATTTACTAGGTAAACCAATACTGATAAAGACGTATCTGGAAGACGAATGACGTAAAAGCTACACTCACAAGTGCTATATAACTGTGGCCCATACTATAGCCAGTAGATACACCTTGGGTCAAACTAAACATGCTTAAATAAAGCATCTTTATTATAAACATCTTTTTATATTATTTCTTTATATATTTTGACCATGTCGATCAAATGCAAATCGTCTTTTGGGACGGCTAGAAACACAAATTGTAAATCAACCCTAAAATAAGAAAATGCTTTGTAAAAACACACAGAAGAATCTCTATGCTAATGTACTATCGCGGGCAATCTCCGTTAGATACAGTCATGTGGCACCCAATTGAATACCTCATGAATCTTGCACATTTTCAGCGGAAGACGTTAGAAACTAACCAATCTACATACATATGCATAAGGGGCTTATTCCTCGTCCCACTCTTGCGGTAACAACAGCAGGTCGTCGACGCGTTACTGCAGAGCGAAGCTTAACTGGCGTTCTGGGAAAGCGCTTCAAAGAAGGTGTTCACAGACACTGTTTTCATGCATGCATGCCGATCTGTTCTATTGAGGCGGTGGGCTAATGAAGTAAAATATATGTCCTTGAAATTGAAATATCGACACCTTAATGTTCTAGCCTGACAATACCAAGTTCTGTCCAGATTCCTAATGTACCTTAGCATATACATCAAGAATTAATGTAAAATCGCGTAATTAAAACGTATTAGTTATTTATTTTATTTGCTAACGCCAGCCGTGTCTTTTAATTATTTCAAGATACTTCACTAGAATACTAGTTGAAGTATTGTCTTTTAAGTGGTCAGGCATCGATTTATAGCAGCATGATGAACGCAGTCTGCATAAACATGCCACAGTAGTATAATTATGTATAGCGTTGCGAGATTCCCAGAGTACGTAAAGCGGAATTTGAATCAACTCCGTTGGTTTACAACCAGAAATTTGTCAGATATTATATAGGTTTGTAGACCGCCATTACGGCTATAGATAGCTTTGGTGAGAACCAATTAGCAGACCCTAAACGTATTTGCGTTGTTAATTATGTTATACTGACTCATCCCGCTCGTGTACATATCGCTATGTAACGAACGTTTTTAACACAGACCTATTTGATTTTATGCTATCGATATTCACGCTGATGATCAAGGTTGTCGTTTTACCATTCGACTAATACAATTCCTAGTTCCGAGTTCATTAACAGCTCACTATTGGGAACCGACTCGGGTGTCAGTCACGCCTTTTTGTATAGCGTCGTACGCAACAATGGTATTTTGCTTACTGCTGCTGAAATGGCATAGACAGGTGAAAATGTGGTGTGTTTTCGAATGCGGTGTGTAATGATTCAAGGAAACGTTAGCAGCATGAAGATGAAGATGCCGATATTGCCGACGATAATGCTGGTGTTTGAGTGGTGCTAACGCTAACAAAACACTGCTTGCTTGTAAATAACAAATCTCCGTACTTTATAAGGCCCATACGCGTTCCTGAGGGAGGCACGACTGCGCCGTTGGCACGCATTGATTCAAATGGTGGAGCGAGCTGCCGTCAATTGAACCTTCTTGCCACCCCATCGGAGCCATACTCGAGGCCTGAGACGATCGCGAACGGACTACAGCACCGCTCCGGACGTATCAGTGAGTTGAGTTTTTCCGTAGCAGCCATTTTTCTCTTTTACCCCCCCCCCCCCCCCCACTCCCCATTGTTTGTTGATCGAGTAGCAAATCTTACTGTCCTTTCGTTGAAGAACGTCGTGCTGTCGCAGTTTTTTTTTATCAAGACTGTGGGCCGCAAGCTTGCGTGCGTGTCTATGAATATGTGCCACACTGATGAGGTGACGTTCCTTGTTATTGCAAAGGCTGGTAGCGCCATCACGGCAAACCAGTCGCCTGTTATTATGCTGTCTTATACTGCAGTGTGTTATTGTGAACAAAGAACCCACTAAGATGCTAACTGATGTCAAGAGAAAAAGAAAATAGATCTCGAGAAAGGGTTATGACAAGGGAAAGGGCTTTGACTGTTGTCTTTTTGCTGAAACTGCACATGCTACAGAATGTGTCTGTGGGTGGATAGGCTACAGCTGTTGCTCGAATGATCATACCAGTAACGATGATAACGATGATGTTGTTGATAAGACCGAATACGAGAAAATCCGCCAGCTGCGTCGACCTTGCGTCGTTCATCTACGTTGTCTTTCTCGAAACGTTCTCTTGTACGTTTCCCGTTGTTGCATTTGCCCGCCAAAGTGCATACTCTCGTAGGGGCATTTCTCGATCTCCGGTCAGTTCCGGCCTCTGCAGGCGTACGAGACTGCTAGCGCCCCGGCTCACCACAGAACTTATATGAGGCAACCAAATATTGTGTTCTTCGACGTTGTTCTGCCCTGGCGCCTATTGCTGTTTTTCGTATTGCTATTACTATAGCCGTCATTATCGTGGGTGATCACTGCGGCTATTGGGTACTGTTCAGTCATACGGTGGTAGCACCAATCAATACGTCCACGTGGCGAACTTTGTCCCTTGTTGCCTGCCTGTGTCCACGGAAGGGCTGTTCAGCTGCACGCTTTCTCCCTCCATGGTATCGACTTTAGGTCTCCTCTCCTACGTATGCCGGACCGGGTCGCGCCCTCTCCACGAGGCGGCAGGCGAAAAACGCCCAGTCCTGACGATGGAGCGGCAGAGTGATTTTAAGGGCGATCAGTCGCACATAGTCAAGGCACAACAACAGCAGAAGCAGCAGCAGCAAGGCTACTGAACGGGACCGGACCTGACACCCCGCTGAAAAGCAGAATAGAACGGTCTGAGAACTCGACGACGAAACGTACAAGCTTAACAGGGAGTGAGCAAACGGAACAGACGACCACAATAGAGCTTGTGCCGAACTTGCGCGCCAATTAACTGTTGAGCAACGATCACTGAAGTAAAACCCACCTTAGTGTGAATAGAGAATCTTGACCCAAGTTTCGAGGTGCTGGTGAACATTTAGGCGATCTTTAGGCTTGCCTTGTCCTTCTCACTACTGCTGGACAACGACGTTTGATACGGTTCAAAGATCGCAACAGTGAAGGGAGAAACACAGCTGATACGTTAACTTCAGAAACTTTTGCGACACAGGCCTTCAGAGGAATGCTTTCCCGAGGAACCTGCCGATTGTTGCGAAAGCTAGTAAAGGTTAATAATGTGAGTTCCATTGCCTTCATTTTTCCCGTCTATCTATAAATCGGAAATCTTAGAACCGCAAATGCTTCCTCACTTTACTTAATGCTGGCCATTTTTTACTATTTTATAGTACATTTCTAGCCTTTGCCATATTTTATTTGTGGTTTTTCTCATTAGCGCACTACCCAAGACCAAAATGTTCTTCTCTACAGGTAAAACACCAGTCATATTGTGCATACGAGCAGATGTGCCGGTAACACACTAGGTGCACTTAGGTTTATTTGTATATGGATCGATCCTGTTCAGCGGCTAATCGGAAAAGCGATTTCCTCTCATTCATCTCAGTCACTTTGGCCCATTGTCTCCCAAATGGCTGCTTCGTTAAATTCCGGAGGGCGGCAACTTTTGTATACATTGTTTTCGTAAATGATAGCTTTGTAGATTCGGGCCATACTGAGACTTCGTCAGGCCCTTCGGTCGACGGCAGGAGCGATTCAGCCCCACGTTTGAGTTTTCTGTCGGCCTTCGCAGCAAGGAAATTTAGCACCAATTTTACTTTTTTTTCCGCCGCCTTAGTTGACAGTTTCTATGCGACGTCTTCCAAGCCAGAAATACGATAGAGAATGCAAAGATGTAAGTGAAAAATACCGTTCAAGAACAAAGTACAATGTACGATAGAAAAAACCGTCCCGAAGGATTGTTGGCAGGACAGTTCCTCGATCAAAAGAGTGCCGGTTCGGGCTGCTGTCGAATCGACCACAGCTGAGTTGGCTGAAGTGTCGACAGCGAAGAACACATTTAAACCCTATAGTGTAAGCGTCTGAGGGTCGATTTTATAATCTGTTATTTAGGTTCTCGATTCTAATGATGTAGTATCTTCATAGCGCACGCGAAATCAGTGACCCTAGTTAAGGCTAAAACATCGATAAGCAAGCCGAAAACAGTGATTTAATTCTACAGTACATTGCTGATAACGAAATGTGGCATACTTAGCTTGTTTGCCAGGCACTGCAGAGAAAATAAACTGCATGGATCGGTGGACGTGCAAATGCCTAAATTAGAAAGCCATTATTCTTAGCACGAGACCTGCAGACGAACATTTGTCATTAATAGGTTTTGACCTATACTGGCGTAGCTTAATAGAACTTCCTTCACTACATGGCTACATTGATCAGGCGGATTATGCAAGCCAATGCTTATTTTTTAAAAAAAATCAATTTGGTGCCCTTCGAAAGGTTTAGAGCAGATTTGTTCAGACTCAGATGCGTAGAAAATAGGCTGGGGTTTAGGCAAGGCTTATAAGAATGTATCATTAAAATGCTGCCAACAGCCCATCTGCGAAAGATCATTATGCCGATGCCGACGGCTGGGGATCATTTTTTGCACAACTAAGTACGCTCATTTGCGGAATAAATAAACCTGTCAGTTTGTTTAGCTAGTTCAAGATTAAAGGCTCTTACTTCCTTTGAGACATTCATATTTGTCTCTACAGCAACTGTCCATTACTGGGAGAGGTATAATCGAGGCGGACAGTTAATTGTCATGTCGATGCAAAGTACGACAAATTACTATTGGCGGTATTTTTCAATTTCGTCAAATCAAATACGGGCTCCCCAGATGTCTGTCGCCCGTCGTAGCGTTTCGGTGCTGTTCTTTGGGCTGTTTATTGATAGCTTCAAAACCAAACACGTGTCTGGTTGAAGCTGGTTCAGTCTGTATCCTACAGAGTGAGTCGGATGCCGCGGGCGTCCGTTGCTAGCAAGATAACCTGCATTAAACACCCCACAAGATATACAACACCAGCGAGGATAGAGCGTCGGGTACACAAGAGCATTGAGGATAGAGCTTCGAAAGCTTCGTGTGGTGACCAAATTGACCATCGCTCAATTTGCGCCCAAACCTCTCTACGGTTACGGGTTATTAGGCATAAACCTGATTGGCACAGAAGTTGTTAACATCGGTTCAGCATGAAAAAAATCTAATATACTGATTCATGCCAGCAGACTACGACCGGCAGACTGTTATGCAAAATCTATCACGCGCACAGCCAATGAAGTTTTAGTCCACACGCTGCCTTAGTCTAGCTTGAAACTACCTTGCTGTTTTTACCTTTGGCTGTCATATATAAAGTGCTGCATCTGATGGAATCTCTGTTCATATACCAGCTTGTTTCGTTATCAACTTTGACTGAATATAGCCTGTTCAAAATAACTGATATATATATATATAACAGATATTTAATCAGAGCAATTACTGAATATCTGCTAGATGAACCGTCTGTCAATTGGAAGAAACATTTATAACGACTGGCACATTTCAGCCTCTTGATTGATACGTTATCAATCTTTCTTTTTATTCCATAGTTGCCCAATAACGCTCTGAACTCAGTATGCACAAAGCTCCTCATGCGTTTAAAGACGTGAAAAATCTTTTGTATAATTCTCTTGGCATCGCCCCATGTGCCGCACCTATGTTGTGAACGTTCCGTTTAGATTACTGCCAACTTAATTTATCTTTCGTTAATCTCCATTAGAAATGCGTAGATTGGCTCTCAAGATAAATTATGTCGATGATTCGATTAGTTAGCGCGTAGTGAAGACAAGCGCTGCCGTAGATCTTTTACGATCTCTCAGTCAACGTCCGGGGATGCAGTGATTGGCGTAGAAAGAACAGCGTAAACGGTAACCAAGGGGTTGGTCTGTCCGGCTGAAAAGTGTCATTTAAGATACGGGTGTGGGCTATGCAAAGTACAGGATCCTCCTAGCCGGCGTAGGTAAACGGCAGTCGTAGCAGAAAGCAGCCACCGGCCATCGATTTAATTTTGCGTTCATTGTCGCAACCCGTGTATTTACCGTAGAGATGCTGTTGCCGTCACTGATGATGACTACAGTGATGCTGATCATGCTATGTACATTATCAGCCAGACAGTAGATAAGATAGCTAACAGCGGGACGAAATCTCGTTACGATCTCCCTGTTCCACTGGCGTTATAGTGCTCAAGCGTTTCCTGGAGCTGTGGAAGGTGTCGCATAGCTCAGTCCGTCTTTCGCCTGTGGTCGCCTAGCAGAACCCACCCTCTTCCCCCCGCCACCACCCCGAACTCTCCCCCTGAAACACGACTGTTGTTAGATAGTTATGCGGACCTGAGTAATGTAAGTGGAATATATTCTCGACAACTTTTTGCTAAGTGTTTTCTTCTCTTTGATACGTGTACGCTCTATGAAACTATAACAAAGTGACGAAAGTAATTATGTCGTTTCGTAAACTGTTCGTATTACGATTTCGCTGCGTGGGCTATAAGCTACCGGCTTTTTTGTGATAGAGGTTCGTATATATGATATCTTCTGCCTGAAGGCTGCCGACATCGTGATTACATCGCTCACGTTAAAGCTTGCTTTAAATTCACGCAGCGGTGCTAACGCGGGTAATTCCAACTCGATCCAATTGGAAACACCTCAACAATGTAAAAAAGTTGCTGTTTTTTTACCAAAAGGCGTCTGGTTAAATTAGTAAAAGTACCGTCTCGTTTACATAGTTAAACGTGACAGCTAAGCGCGGCCATCAAGAATACATTAACTCAAGTTTCTTTTCTGACACATAACGTAGAGTACGTGATAACGTAAATTTTACTCGCATGGAACATTGGGTACGACAACTACATCATAGAGCAAATTAAGTTGTTGTGCGTATACTGACATCCTCATAGCTATTAACGCGTTAGACAATAGTCCAGTGATCGGTCTAGCCCAAATCGTAACCCTTAATAAACGTCAGTTAAAATAACCTAGCAGTAAGCTTAATAAATAAAATAATTTTACAAGCCCAAGAATCAGTTTGATCTCAAAAAAAAAAAAAAAAAAAGTTTGTTGTTTCAAGTAAGCTTATTTACATTTTGTTAGACATTATTTCATATTATCTTCCACAAATTCTCGTCCGCGGAGAAGTACGAGAAGAGTAACAAGTGTCTATTGTGCTCTACATAGTGTCAACGTGGTTTTCCTTATAATGACTGACTGCCAAAAGCATTATTGTTCGATACACATCTTCCCCCGCTTCCCCTCCGAGCCCTTTCAAGCCAAGTTCGACCCCTCTGAGTCAGCTCCGCTTGCGGGACGCGTTTGCCGGTTGCAGTCCTTGTCCGCACTATGCAGCCGGCGGATAAATACGTATAACGTCATGAGAAGATCCCTTCGTGCGCTGTTAGGGAGTCCGTGTCGACGTCACAGGGGAGATACGCACAGATACATACATACAGACAAACAGTTAACTAAGTACGGTAACAGATAGCCGTCGGCAACAACCGCTACGGTTGCCGGTAAATAAGCTTATACAGACAGTCGAAGCAGCGGGCTACCTTGGACGTCCCGCGCTTTCTGTCGAAAGGGGAAATGCTTAGCCGGCCGCCGCGACTGTAACTGCGCAACCGCCGCCAGAGGCGAACGTCTTTTGAGGCGCACGGACAACGAAATAGAATAGAAGGATAGAGTAAAAGGCGGAGTGCTAGCCCGGACAAATCGAACCATGGGCGAGAAGGTACCGACAGGACTATTGGACAAGACATAAACCAAGAATGAAGACGATAAGCAGCGTAAGGCAGCGCCGAGTGAACCGACTATATGTTCCAAATACCTACTACTGTGGATAGAGGGCAGTTCGAATGTGTACTGGCGAAGCCACGTGCATATCGCGACAAATAAAATCGTCTCGCCCCTTCTACAGCTGATACCAAAGACGTTTTTGTTATAATTGGAATATTTTGCTGCGTGGCGAAGCTTGCAATGGAGAGTGGCTTCGTTGTTTTGCGGGGATATGATACGTTACCTGGTATGTGCGAGCCGAAAACCTGGATAGTGGAGATAACGCAATGCCGCAATCGTTGACGATGATGATAACAGTGATCTTTTTAAAATGATCGGAGGGGTCATTTGATTGGCGATTCTGTCGGACACGATACGGTATTCGCCAAGTCTGGGATAATCGTCTTACTTTCGTACATCGCCTAGCAGATATAGCGTCGTTTTGTAGATATGGCAATAACGTGTAGTAATCAGGTGTCTCAAGGGAACAAGGCAGTAGCTAACTTTTTAGGCAGGCAGATGGAAAAATCTTGAGTTAAATAAGACTGCTTAAACTAAGGACTCTGTTTTTGAGCTGCATCGAAAATTTGCTGGCTCTTTTGACTTATAAAAAGCGATAATCACAAATTCAATCACACTGACTTCAGTAGCCATCCTGTGCGTGTTGACAAAATGCCCGCCGTGTTGAGTAGTTGGCCGCAGTGGTTGGTCGAAGCTTACGCAGCTCGACAATTTGTAGCTTTAACATCAGTGTTGCTTAATTACCCTCGCACAGTGCACGTATCAGACTGAAAGGTCGGAAAAGGTTCTGCTGCTTTCGAACGACGCAAACGCCATTCAGGGTTACCAGTGCTGAAATCTTTTTACCAGTATTAAAAAATTGGGAAACTATTTGCAGTCACGATCAACCCACTGCCATAGAGAAGTTTGCTACAGAAACGTGAATAATTCTTACCTTACATCTATAGTATTAACACGATCACTTTTTCTAATGCACTGGTCCTGTATTAGCTCACCCAGCTGGAAACAGTCGCAAGACTGAGCTATTATGTAAACACAACAAGCCCCAAAATAACTTCTGTCCGTTAATGAACAGCGAACTTTTACCTTGCTTAAGGGTTCCGGCAATTCATGCTAGAATTATGATCGAGTTAAGGTTAAGGTATCTATTATGAAATGCAAGAACATGACCATTGGTGATGACATGATCACCTGAGACTATTTTTCTCTAGGTTATTTTGTACTGGATTTAGATACTCCCAATTAGTAACGCAAGTATGCTGTTCTATACATTGGACAAGAAATGAGCTCATCAATTATAGTTAGTGAAAGAAGACTAATGCACGCTACCCGATCATAGATTTAGCAGCGTATTGCTTCCGTGTCAATAAATCGCTTGGTATAAGTAAATTAGCCACAAATGTTGATTTGGTAGAAGAACCATGAGTGAGTGACATACAAAGTTTTCCAGTTCGAGCTTCTCCCGCTGACGGACATTTGTCTGTGCTGTTGGCCATGTATTCAGTGACTGTAACAAATTTCCTCTGTTTTTACGATGGCCTCGCCGAACAAGTACTTATTACGTAATTCCTGTTTCCTTTCGATCAGGACGAACAATTCTTACGTACGGAGCAAGTGAGAAACGCATCGAAGCCTTACTTGCTAATTATCGTACTGAATTCTATCGAATCCATTTTTACATACTACAAGGAGTTTGTAGCTTCTGCGAATTTGTTAAGTTGCGTATCCCAAACGATTGAGTTGCACTCGATGTCCATAGGTCTCCGCTCGCCGATTTGAAAATGGAATCTGGTAGATGAGGTTCGTTCAATTTAAGTGTACAAATGTTATCGCTCCGTAGAATGGCGAAACACAATATACTTCAATTACAAATCTGCTCGTTTTAAGCAGCCATGAAAAGCGGACAGATTCCCACGAGCTGTTATACCTACCTGTGGCGAAAATGGCGATTGTTAACGTAATTCTGTTGATGAGCAAAACATTACAAATGCGTTATAAATGGTCAAAATGTGGAATTCGTGTGGCCAGATCACTGAAGAAAATCTCCTTTCAACAATCCTGTATTGGAGCAGGGAATCCGTTTGCTCAGAGAGCATCGATTTTCTTTCCTCACATCTATTGCTCTAGCAGCGTGTATGGTTTAGACCTAACCGGTAGAGCTAGATAATCATACGAAAATGATAGCATGACATTTTCTTAGAAAAACAGCTAGGTTATTCATAGATACTAATTGCAAGTTGAATTTTTAGATCCATAGCCTCTATATGTAAGCTGATTTCGATGTGGACATCGTTGGGTGCCTCAGGGACGCTGATGTTGCTTAATGTATCGTTGATATAGCTGCTATAAATTTCTGTACTTGATCTTTCAGGTGAGGTGTTTGTCGTGGACTCCTCACGGAGAAGTTAAACGAGAAATTGCTCGACCATCTCATACATTTGTGGTAAGTAGAGAGAAAAGTGATTTTAAAAAAATCGTATAAAGACAAGTTGCACAGATAATGAATAATCTGCTCTATGAGGTATAGCTATAGGTTTAAGTTGCACATATAGCTTATGATCAGTTAAAACTAATAATCCGTTATATAATTATACGATCTTCTTTTCTGTTAGTACGATAACCTTGATATTGAGCTGCAACCAACGCATCTTCGTCAGAGGAAGCCCGAAACGGCTGGACTGCAATTCGGCAAACATTTTGCCGATCACATGTTTGAAAGCTACTGGAGAAGAGACTCGGGCTGGAGTCAACCCAAAATCTGTCCAGTACATGCCCTACAGATGCACCCCGCAGCAAAGGTACCCACCAGCTGTTATTGAAAACGTGCTACGTTTTCTATAGATTCATATGCGCAGCTTCTTGATACGATAACCCACTGGATTCAATCTTTGCTGCTATAGTCAATAGCTTAAATGTAGGCCAAAAACGATGCGCAATGATGAAATATCATGTGGGTGAAAGAAAAAATAGGACATGCCATAGGGCTTTTTGGCTCTGTAGGTATTTTTAGTTAGTTGTTGTAGAAATATTTAGGATGGCCGATAGCAAAACGATCCGTTTTGTTTTCCGCCACACCATTTGCAGGTACTTCACTATGCTCAAGAGCTATTCGAAGGCATGAAGGCTTACCGTGGTCACGATGGAAAAATTCGACTTTTCCGTCCAGAGTTGAACGTTCAGCGGTTACTAGCCTCTGCGAAAAGACTTGGCCTTCCCGTATGTACTGGTTTGTGTTAAAATTTATTAGTATTAACAATTGAGGGGCGCAGGTAGGTCATCTGACTTTTGTTCACAAATGCGCGGAGAAGCTCACGTCATCAACAAGCGGCGTTTGATCCAAACTAGCTTGATATTGGGTCATAGAAGTGTGTCCTCTTTTATTGCTATTAGTTGTTTAGAGTATCGACAGTGTTGAGAGAGTGAACATAGCCAAAACAGTAAAATTGCCACTTTATGAGAAAGCATTTATATAAAGTATTCGGATAAGTTATAGCTACTTCAAGAAGCAAAGGTTATGCATAGTCCGATAGTTGCACAAAATACAGATTTTAAAAAATCTAGTTTCCTAGTTAATTCTATCCTTAACTCCAGTTTCTGATTCTCATCAGTGCATGCATCTACCAAATAATTTAACGTTTGATTTGGACCCTTCGATCTGGTATTTTAGGCATTCGACCCACAGGAGTTCCTCCGCTGTCTTGTGCGGTTAGTTGACGTCGATCGTGACTGGGTTCCGACGAGCCCATTGAGTGCGCTTTATATCCGTCCGACGTTCTTTGGCGTCGAACCCACGTTGGGTGTGCATCGTTCCTCTGAGGCTTTTCTATACGTGATTACAGGGCCGGTTGGTGGTTATTACAATACGCGAAGCAGGGGCGTCAGCCTTTTGGCTGATCCACAATACGTACGCGCCTGGCCTGGCGGTACCGGAGACAAGAAACTTGGTTGCAACTACGCTCCCACGTTGGCTGTTCAGAGAGAGGCTGAAAGACTCGGACTTGAGCAGGTACTCTGGTTGTTCGGTCCCGAACAGCAGATCACCGAAGTGGGAGCCATGAACGTATTTGTGTTCCTCCGTAACAGAGACGGCGAACCTGAGCTTATAACTCCTCCACTGTCGGGAATTATCCTGCCTGGTATCACACGTCGTTCAGTACTTGATCTCGTTCGGCAGTGGAACGAATTCAAGGTTGGGACTAAATATCAATCCACCTATTAGTCTGCTTAAAACGAAGTCAATAATTATTAGAAAATATTTTTAATCACCCCAAAAGCGTCATTTAGAGTACTATTAATAGTCATCATTATTCTAAACACACTTTGAAAAGTACAGATTGCAGGTTGAACTTAAATTATACAGACGATGGCCTAGGCCCATATTATATCGGCGCAATTTTTCTTCTTTCAGACATCAAGGAACTCAATCAGTAATGCTTAGTGTAACAGTTTACATTAGTACAATTCGTCGATATCCAAAAATCATTGCTATTCATTGGGCGAGCAACTGATCAGTTATGCGATTGGTTAAAGCTAATATAAACTTTGTAATGATGTTTCGCCAGCAAAACAGTAATTTAATAACAGAACAACAAGAAGCCAACTCAAAATATTTCTCGAAAATAAACAATATCCGAAAACCCATTTGTCTTACAAACATATCTGTAGCATATTTACTCTGATTCCATCTGCTATTTCAGGTAACCGAGCGCACAATCACCATTTTCGAGCTGCGCGAGGCTCTTAATGAGGGTCGAGTTTTGGAAATGTTTGGTTCTGGTACTGCCGTCTTGATTTCACCGGTTGAGCGAATCGTCCATCGACAGAACAACCGCTGCGAGGATCTGTATATTCCGACAATGCAAAATGAGTGGCAGCTACATGCCAGAATTACGCGCAAGCTTCAGGACATTCAGCGTGGCGTTATTGATCACCCCTGGGCCCTCGAGATCGACTAACCCCCTGAATTCCATCTGGGGGTGTCTGGGGGCGCTGCGATCAGTTTTCCTTTACCAGATTGTGAACATGATTATTATTTTCCCTATTGGCCTACAGAATAATGTAATCAATTTGGATTCTCGCACGTTTCAGATTGTCCTAGATGGCCTCCTCTTCTAACGTAACGATATCGATGACATGACTCACTGTTTCATCTAACCGAGCCTGTTCAGATGAAAGATAATCATACTCAAATTCGACTACTTAGTATTTCCAGTGCACGAACGCGGGCATTTGTATGTATTCAAAATCGGTTACTCGTACTGGTCGTTTCGCGCTTCTAGCGTGCCAGAGGGATGGTTGTCTTTACAAACAGATCGTTTAGAAGCTTTTAGAAATGCAAAACTCATTATTGGAATAATCGGCGGTTGTACATATCGATATGTAAATAATCTAAAACGGCAAACTGAAGCTGCTGATTCCATTGGGACATCCAATGCACCTCGGTCCCAGTCATGGTGTGACTATAGTGAGCTGAGAAGATGAGGAAATTGATGCTATGCTTTCTAACGCAAAAAAAAGCAAACCTCAATCAATCAAACTCAAAAGATGACACTTTGTCGAATAACTAGGACACAACAACACGCTTTATATATATATATATATATATATATATATATATATATATATATTGTGATTAAGCGGCTGGTTTGACATCATCTCGGAACAGATGACGTATCTAATATTTGTGTGAGATATAATTAAATATAAATATATTTAATTCGATTAAGCGCAGGTGCGGGGATAACAAATGTTAAACAAATGGAAGATCTTAGTTTTTGTTTACTATTGTTTTGCCTAAGATTCATTAATATGATGATGCAAGAAAACTACGAAAAGCTACTTGATGCGCAGAGTTAATATCGCGGGGCGAACGCAGTTCAAGCGGGTAAAATGGCCTGCTTTATATATGTATATGCGTAAAGCATATATATATATGGCAGATGTATCAAAACATAAAGCGGCCCTACGGCGGTGTATTTATTTTGTCGCAGGTGTAATTTATCTGTTATACCTGGAGAAATCGTCAATAAAGTGATTTTCGATACAAATTAAAAACGCTCGTGTTTTTACACGATAAGAATAAATCGCAGTTGGATATTGTTGTCTACGGAATAGTTAAGACATATAAAATGCGGATTTTACTTCTCTGATAGAAGGGTCCTCCCGAAGACGATGTGAGTTACCGCAAGCTAAGATTCGTCGTTAGGTTCGTTAAGCAGATTTCTTATTATAATTTATCATTAAACACATGTTCAGTTGATTCTAGAAAATTTAGGTCAAAATATGAGAAAATCCGGGTCTATAATATATGTATATATATATATATATATATATATATATATATATATATACACACACATCTAATCTGTTTTTATATGGCAATGAATTTTAGCCCCTAAAGACCACTTTATTGAACAGGCTTTTAGCTTAAAAAGTTGTATATGGGCTACCTTATTTCTTAGTGCATTATCGTTATAATTTTAAATTCTTTTTCAGATACTTTATCTTTAGCAAGGTATTTTTTTAAGATTATATAGAAACAAAACAACCGTGTAACCCTGTATAACCTGTAGAATATAGGGCATTAAAATAATTTGATTTTGCTCGTTTAAGGAACCGTTTGATATTATAAGTTAAAGTAGCTTAGTGCATAGCCTACTTTTATAACTGTTCTAAGGCTCAGCTGTATGATGATAAGATATATATATTATCTGCTAAAATATCCTACTGAAATTGACGGCAAAGCGGAGAGGACGTGTCGACAAAACAGATAAAACAGAGGATTTTTGGAAACTAATAAAAAAATATTTTAGACAACATTAGAATTTGCTCTAATAATTTTAGCCGTTATTCGATAATGATAAGCAGCATATTTACTTTTGACCCTTCCGTTTTTGTTCATCATGGAACGTATCGACTCAGACACTCCAGTGATATTTACGTTTAAACACTTCCTGATCCTTGATTATATAATCACGAAATCATGATTTCTAGCCAGAATAAATTCGTGGCTAAATCATGCACATCATAATATCACCAGAAGTCAAACATCCAAAAACTTCATCGACATCATTTCGAAACTTTCAGAGTTCCTATGTCGTTTCGTATGTGAATTTGTAGAGGCTAACATAAAAGTGTCGCGATAATCTCGAAACGATAGCTATGTTGGCTAAAAAATTAAAATGCACATTCAATGAAATGTTCCTCCCTTTCAGTTCTTGAATAAATATATTTTCGCGTTCGTTCGTGATTAAGATGAAAAATGCGCTAGATCCCTCTGTCTATTGCACCCATTACCCTATGCCATTCATCATTTTGTACTTTACTTCAATGTAATGTCTATGAGTGCTAGAGCATTCGTTCAAACTGGAAAAGGTAATTTAGTCCGAAGTAATGTTTGGGTTGTTTGAAAAGTAGGAAGGTAATATTTTTTCTAAAATGTCAATTTCCGAACGTAGCAGATAGTGATATTATTCTAGCGAGGATAGGTATAGCTTTTATATGTGTTTTTATAAGGTTTGGAAGGTATTTTTTGGAAGGTATAACCTATAAACATCTCCACTAAATAATCATGTCCATTAATAATATACACAATAATAAGTAATAATGAATTAGCGTGACAAATGTTATAATGAATCCTTTCAATCTAAGCATTAACTATTTCCCAGAGCTGAGCTTTAACGTTCTAATAATAAATCCACACAGAACACAAATATAATGTTTAATATTTGAAACTGAAAATTTGTTAGGTTTAGAAAACCAAAAAAAGACACTTAATTTTCGTTAGTAGAAAGAAAATGTAGCTGCAGCATTTTTGTTTCCATATTGTATTTCTCAAACAGAATATCCAGGTTGCGTCCATCGTGCCGTATCTTCGCCATAACTGCTTCTGGTCCTATTTAGAACAGGACTACGATCGTTTTTTTTTTAGACTTAAGTAGAGATATGTACTTATTAATAATATTTGGTTCTACGCAAGACCGTAGCCTACGCTGATCTACTTCGCATTAGCACCAAACACATTTGCTCTGATGTCCAAGCAATAATTATGAATTTTTGTTATATAATTTATAGATATTCTATTGTCGCTATGAGGGGTTACATAAAATCTTCATTGATCCTCTGGTCCCAATCCTATCATGGTGTTTAGTCATAGACTTAATTTTATTAATTTCATATGTGTATGATATTTTGTAGAAATGGTAATAGAATAGGTATTTAGCAGCAGGATAGGTTGTATCATCGACAAAGGGTAAATTTTCCAACATGAAGAAATGGACCTACAGTAAGAGGTTGCTTCAATTGTAATCCTGCTTCTTTTTTCTAATAGAGAGCAAACTCTGCTTCATTTGCTTCTTCTGGAAGCTGATTTTTTAGAAACTTGTGTTTCATTTATAACTGGTGTTCGCTATGTACTTTCACGCATCGCGCGGGGCAATGAACCTAATCACAGATATTAGTAAACTATCAGAGACAATTTACTAGAAGGGGCCGCACCTAGGAGAAGTGAATAGCCTGAATCTACGAAACAAATATGACCCGATCTGTGAACCTCTGATAGAAATTATCCGTACAACTGCTAATCGATAGCTCAGAACAGTTCATTTTTATATTTTGTATTTAAAGAATAAAAACATTTCACCCTTATAGTAAATCTTCGGCGAAGTATTGGCCCAATATGGGAATATAAGTAAGCAATTTCATAAGATTCGATGAAAGTAGAAAATGAAATCAGGAAAAATACTGTCTAAGATAGGTAAGAAAACTAACATAGCTAAGGTACTGAGACTTGGTTTTCCATGTAGTAACAAAAACAAGCTCATCGACCAGACTGATACAGCATCAAAAGTTCATAAAAGAAAAGTTAATAATAATACAATATAAACCTTTAGTGCCTTTACGAACCTGTAGTTGTGGCGACAATTAGGTTTTTGCAAAATAATGGTAAAAAGGTTTTATTTCGCAGAACACATTCTACGCCATAATTGCTGGATTACTATAACATCGCTAAAATAAAAATTAGTAACAGCAAAATATATGTACAACTTTTTCGCGTAAATACCTAAAATATGTCTTGTTCACATATCTCGTAATTTCTCTCGTAAATTCTCTTACTGAGTTAAGTGACCGAGCCCTACTAGTGAGCGAACTCCAGACCAGCGGAAGAAAGGGGCAAACGAAATTACAGCGGCAAAGTGAACTCCAAAAGTGGTAGCACAACGGTGAAAGCGGCTGACGGCAGCGGCGAGCGGGAAAAAGGTCTCAGGCAGGACGAGGCTTTTTGATACCTTAAAAGTGAACACAGCAGAACGCACGCTGTATGTACCACCGATAGAGAGCAGTTCATACGAAGATTACGTAGGGACGGCACTGAAAGCAGCAGCAGACCCGTATAAACGAGAAGCAAACTTTTACTTGAAATACGAATCTACTTATTTCTTCTCAGTGCCGCAATAACGGCATGGCATTTAAACGCCTGAGCTGTCAATTGAGCCTATTGTTTCCTCGTTGCTTGACTTTCACGGTGAGTTTCACCAAGTATAATATGTTGCCTGTCAATGGTTCTTTAAGGCAAATCATGTCTTGTTCGCATTAAAAAGAAGACCAAATGTTCTATAAATTTCAATAGCCTTTTTCGTATGCTTGCGGGCAATCTGTATGTCACCAACGATCCGAAGGTCGCATGGGAAAAGAATGCAGGTGTCATCCAACTAAGCGACCTTACCGAGATTTTAGGTAAAATTAAATTTGTAAAGGTGATCAGCAAATATGGCCCAATTCTTAACATCTTACAATCAACCTATCTGTTGTCTTTCACAGCGGTACGCCCTGAACCAATTGATAGTGATTCGTATGCACCCCAGAACGAAAATCGTTCCTGTAGGGAAAAACTGCGCTATGGTTTAGTGATTTTTCTTTTGTGGGTAATTTTTTAAGTAGGCACTGGTCATAAAATCATTAGACTCAAGTACAACAAATAATTATTATTCAAATATATACTCAAGTATCTAGTGATGTCATTGGTCGTAGCATTCACTTTTCCTATTAAAGAGCTAAGGTGTCAAATATCTTCAGGTTTGTATTCGCGCCAAAAAAAATTTAAAATTTATATTGCATTCAAGTTGCCTTAACGAATAACGCTTTTCTCTGTTTTTGTTTGATATCTAACCGAAAATATTTTTCTAGATGATGTCTTTTGCAATCACGCCTGTATCACCTAATGGTGAATATATGAGTATTTAATACGCTACCTGAAAGCTATAGTGAAACTAATAGCGCTATGTACTTTGTCAGTACAAAGCACATAGTGTTAACACATTACCATTTGATTGTATTACAGACAGTGCTATAATATCCCAATCAGAAATCTTGAACAACCTACAATAGCCCATGAGGTCAAGAAATTTCAACCTCGCTAAAAACCTACGCACATATCTTGCGTTCTTCGTGTTGTTGTTATTCTATTCGAACAATAGTTAATATGTAAGATTATAGCGTAATGTATTGGTACGGCTTATCCAATCGTAGTTGCTACAGTTGGAATCTTGCATCCCGTTTATTACAATGATCAACATTTATACTTTTCTGTAATTACCCTTCCTTTGTGACGAATGTAGAACTCGCTTATCGGCAAAAGTCGTTTGATTCAAGGCTAAAACTGCCACTTCCACATTTGATAAGCGAGGATGCCAGACACGAACTAACAGCCGCTTTCTTAGATGTGTCTCACAGTTCTACCGCTGACTAAAAAGTCTATTTGTAAGAGGTAAGCTAGGAGCCGCTATTACAAGTCGTCTACAAAGAAGCGAAGACCTCTGTCGCTTCCACATTCGCTTTTTATAACCACAACGTCGTTTTTATGTACTATTTAGAGATCGTGCGGGCACCCCATCAGAGCGTTGCAGTCAACGGAGCGGAGAGAGTCAACGAAACGGAGTACAAAAAATAAGCACAAAAAGACGAAGCTCAGATCAAAACTCCGATTCAAAAATTTACGGATACATGCATAGAAAGACAAATTAATGTAGACGCTTCTTTGCTTCAACGAGCGCGATATTACCCTGGCCAGGCCAAATGCTTTCGGTGAAAACGTCCAGCCACCACCGTTGAATACTGGCTATCGAGGTAGGGCACTGCTAGCCGCATAGCGTCTAGTTGAAAACAAAATGCCACTAGTAAGGACATCTTGGGACTTTCTATCATCTACTAAGCGTTACGAAGTCGCTCTCATCGTCAGCGGTGCCGAGGAGAAAGCGAACGCACCGCAAACGGAGTAACCATGCATATGACGATATGGTGCTTGTCCGTGCCCATGTAAAGATACGTACATATGTTCGATACCTGTACGTCCGTCCGATAAGCCGGCCAGCCAGCTACTCGATGGCTGGTATTAAAGGTAGAAAACACGTCAGACAATCGGGAGGGACGTCAGGCAATCGATGGGCAGGTAGGCAGCCAGCCAAGTGAATAGGCAATAAGGATATAGAAACGGAAACGCGTAAAGAAAAAACGAGGCAGCGACTGAATATCGGCCGCGGCTATAGTTGCTGGTGACTCCGAAATGCTCCAAAAACGTTCGAGAGAACGAACCAGAAAAATGAGGAGAAAGTGCTTGTTGTTGTTGTTGAAAGGACAAGCGACGGTGAGGAGGGGCAGGCAGCAAAAATGAGTCGATGGCTTTTCTGCCACGAGAAGAAAATGATGAGGAGCGCAGCAACGAAAAGAAAAGCGAGGAGAGTAAGGAAAACAGCAGAAGAAAACAAGAACAGCGTTACCGGCA